ATTAAATCAGGTATAGGTTTGACATGTGTGTGGTAGAAAGTCGTATGTCAGCATCCTGACTATGGGTAAATCCTTTTGAATATAGATTAATTAAATTTAAATTAAATTGAATAGAGAGAGAGAGAGAGAGAGAGAGAGAGAGAGAGAGAGAGAGAGAGAGAGGAGAGAGAGAGAGAGAGAGAGAGAGAGAGAGAGAGAGAGAGAGAGAGAGAGAGAGAGAGACATAGACAGATAGATAGATATATGTGTATATATATATATATATATATATATATATATATATATATATATATATATATATAATATATATAATATATAATTTCTAATAATTTATATTTTAATGTATGTTTTTTTAAATCTTTTTTTTTAAATCAACATTTTTTTTTAAAGGAATCAGTGTTTGTTGCTGTTTATTAATATTTTTAGTTGTATAATTTTTTTTGTAGTTATTTTCTCTAAACTTAAAAATTGAATCCGTTTGAATACCAATTTATTTATCTTTTCAGTTATGTTTAGTTTTTGTTTTGTAATTTCGGCGAAAGTTATGTTGAAGTGAGTTGGGTTTTATTCTTTATACAATTCTTTGGCCTCTTTGGAGAAATTTTATTTATAGTCTGTAATGTTTTGATTTCTTTTTATATTTTAAAAATCGGGCAATATTGTGAGAGACTTGAGTTTCTATTTCCGCTATTGGCACACAGCGGGGGCAAAGTGCGTTTAGTGTTGTAGGTGTGTCTTGCCTCTCCACATTGTATGGATTTACTTTGTTGTTAACACTGGTTGGTAGGATGACCAAACGATAAGCAGCAAAAACACCTTAAGCGATATGGAATGTACTGTTGGACTTTAACTGCATGGCAAATCCTATTTTTGTTGTGGCCGTGTTCTCGTTGTTAAAAACGTGATTATATACGAGTTCGTAAGAATTTCATAACCATTCTTTTTTATTTTGATACGAGTTATGTCCTTTATCTGTTGTAATAACTCATTTTTTATTTCCTCGATTTCAAGGAATCGTAGATCATAAAATCGAATTACTCCTCTACTAAAGTTAAGAGTATTGTGGGGAGAAACTTAAATTGGAAATTGATCACTAAAGTTGTCACATTTTAAAAGTTTTTCGGATTTGTTTGTATTTTTTGTTTCGATCAATAATGAGCCATTTTTTATACTTTTAGGTTCGCCTACTAAACCTGTTAAAAATTGATTAATAAAAAAAGGTAACATTTTTTGAAAATCATTTTCATCAGTTCGTTGTATGATTAGAAACGTTGGACTCCTTTTTTTTTTATACCCGTATTGTCTTCAGTTAATAATTTAAGACGACCACAAGGGCGTTTTCTGTTAGCCTTGGGGCTAGCGAGGTCTATGGAGTCCCCCATAGATAAAATAAACGAAAAAAAAATAAATGTTTAAATATAAATAAAAAAGGATACAAAGAATATATAAAAAAAAGGATGAGTGATAAAAGATATAAAATGATATTGTTTCTTATCTTTTACCTCTGTTGATCTAGCAGAGCGACCTCTCTCTCATAATTCCAAACACTGATTCAGTTTGATGATTTTTCTCTCGTATGATTAAATCAGGTATAGGTTTGACATGTGTGTGGTAGAAAGTCGTATGTCAGCATCCTGACTATGGGTAAATCCTTTTGAATATAGATTAAAAATGTGAATTATAAACAAAACAAGAAATGCTAGTTTGTCGTTCAATGTTAATAACGTTAAAGACACAGGATTCCCTTACTTGTCGTCAAAAGAAATACTATTCGTGTCGGTTTACTTTCTCCTGCTTGAATTCTTGTAAACATATTTTACACATGTTCTTGTAAACATATTTTACACATGTTCTTGTAAACATATTTTATATCTAAAAACCCCCAAAGATATTTTTTAATTTCTTAATTACTCTCGGACAATGAATCAGGTAATTATAATTGTCATATGTTTTTTCACATTTTCCCATTAATTTCATCTCTTGAATGAAATTATTTTTTTTTTAAATTAGGGGTATTTCAGAGTTTTTCGCTCGGCCCACTTCTACTAAACTCAATTTATACTGAATTTATCGAAGAAGAAAGCGATCTGATTGTTTCAATTGATTTATTATTTGTTTTTATTTTTATTGATCTTATTCTGTTTCAAAATGATAAAATGAAAAACCATCTTAACTATTTCACATCGCAGCTATGCAATCTTGAAAAGTTATTTTCTTTTCTACAGCTGACCTCTTTATACCTTTCGTCTTTTTCATTAACTTACCGGCGCGAAGTCGTAGTTAGTATATCATTGCACTTAGTCTGACGAATTCCCAGACAGTACTCCGTAGGCTTCATCTTTAAATTTTCTTGAAAATGAATCTAAGGAAGGAAGAATCTTTTCCTTGTCAAAGATATATAGAGATTAACAAATTTATATTTTTATGAATTTTTTTTTGTCTATTTGTGAATATAATAAATAATACATTTAGTTTTGAATATTATTATTATTATTAGTGACGAATATTGATCAGCTCTTGTATAAAGATTTACTCCTGGGTTCACTAGCAGGGGTAGAATGCATTTGTAAAATTTATCAAATTTTTTATAGCTTAAAAAACTACAGATTTTTCAATAAATTCAAAATTTAAAGTGATATATTTTCCTCACCCTTTACATCGTTCATGGAAAATTATACTTTGAATGTTTGGAGGTCACTGAATTTATATATGCAAATTTCTCTTCGCGAGGCTGATACAATGTTTTCAATTATTATGTCGTACGTCGTCGTATGTCGTATATAAGGCGGTCTTCGAGAGAAGGTAAGATAGGATGAGACCGGGGTCTCCGTGCGATCCCATAGCACGGTAATAGAGTATCGTATTTTTTTTGTATTATGCCCCTATTCTTCAACTTTCACCATTTGAGTTCTCAAACCCTATACCATTCTGATTCTGATCGTGTTCTATTTATTATGTCCACTTAGTAAGGATCCATGGCTGTTTCTTCATTGCACTGCTCACAGAGTGCACGAGAGCATGCTACCTCTAATATTGTATCATAATGGTGGTCCCTAGTGGGATGCAAATTTCAAAATGCCAAACATTGCTCAGGAAAAGTCCATACTGCTCAGCGAGTTAATTTTTTTTTTTTTCTCAATAGGTTTGACTTTATATTCCTCTCACTAGAAAGACAGATAGATAGATATATGTATATATATATATATATATATATATATATATATATATATATAATTTTTAAATTTTTAATAATTTATATTTTAATGTACGTTTTTTAAATCTTTTTTTTTAATCAAATTTTTTTTAAAGGAATCAATGTTTGTTGCTGTTTATTAATATTTTTAGTTGTATAATTTTTTTTAGGTAATTATAATTGTCATATGTTTTAAATTTTGTTGTCTTGAACCATGTATTTTCATACAAATACCTTGACCAATGTAGATTTTGCATTTACATCGTTTGATTGGCAATTAACAATATAACAAATCAGTAACAAAAGAAACAAACCTGTTGAATAAGAGCAACCATGACGACCCATTGTGATATCACTTTTATATTGTCGTAACTGTTATGGAGAACACTATTGTTTACATTTTTTTTTTTTTTTTAACCTCGCTTCTACTCTCGGACAATGAATCGAGTAATTATAATTGTCATATGTTTTAAATTTTGGTGTTCTTGAACCATGTATTTTCATACAAATACCTTGACCAATGTAGATTTTGCGTTTACATTGTTTGATTGGCAATCAACAATATAACAAATCAGTAACAAAAGAAATAAAACCACTTGAAAAATAGCAACCATGACGACCCATTGTGATATCACTTTTATATTGCCGTAACTGTTATGGTGAACAATATTGTTTACATTTTATTTTATTTTTTAAACTCGCTTCTACTCTCGGACAATGAATCGAGTACTTATAATTGTCATATGTTTTAAATTTGGTTGCTCTTGAACGATGTATTTTCATACAAATACCTTGACCAATGTAGATTTTGCGTTTACATTGTTTGATTGGCAATCAACAATATAACAAATCAGTAACAAAAGAAATAAAACCACTTGAATAAGAGCAACCATGACAACCCATTGTGATATCACTTTTATATTGTCGTAACTGTTATGGAGAACACTATTGTTTACATTTTATTTTTTTTTTAACCTCGCTTCTACTCTCGGACAATGAATCGAGTAATTATAATTGTCATATGTTTTAAATTTTGGTGCTCTTGAACCATGTATTTTCATACAAATACCTTGACCAATGTAGATTTTGCGTTTACATTGTTTGATTGGCAATCAACAATATAACAAATCAGTAACAAAAGAAATAAAACCACTTGAAAAATAGCAACCATGACGACCCATTGTGATATCACTTTTATATTGCCGTAACTGTTATGGTGAACAATATTGTTTACATTTTATTTTATTTTTTAACCTCGCTTCTACTCTCGGACAATGAATCGAGTACTTATAATTGTCATATGTTTTAAATTTGGTTGCTCTTGAACGATGTATTTTCATACAAATACCTTGACCAATGTAGATTTTGCGTTTACATTGTTTGATTGGCAATCAACAATATAACAAATCAGTAACAAAAGAAATAAAACCACTTGAATAAGAGCAACCATGACAACCCATTGTGATATCACTTTTATATTGTCGTAACTGTTATGGAGAACACTATTGTTTACATTTTATTTTTTTTTAATCTCGCTTCTACTCTCGGACAAAGAATCGAGTAATTATAATTGTCATATGTTTTACATTTTGGTGCTTTTGAACCATGTATTTTCATAAAAATATCTTGACCAATGTAGATTTTGCGTTTACATTGTTTGATTGGCAATCAACAATATAACAAATCAGTAACAAAAGAAATAAAACCACTTGAATAAGAGCAACCATGACGACCCATTGTGATATCAGTTTTATATAATAGGTATATCAAAACAAGGAGCCCTTTACCCCAAAGAATATTTCGCACGATGGTTCGTCCCCTTGATTTGATAATAATCTATCGATTTTTCATTTTCAGCAGTTCATGGAAAGGTAGTTGCAAGGTAGTAGAACTGATTTTTTTTTTTTTGAACTACTGTGCATTACTTTTACTTTATTTTTCATGATGGTAATCTTTTGGCAGGAATTGACGTGGAATGTTATTTGATATTTTAACATATGAACAGAAAATCATCGGAAGATGTCTGTGGTAGGAAGTCGTATGTCAGCATCCTGGCTATCTCGGATAAATCGTTTTGAATTTAGATTAAAAATGTGAATTATAAACGAAACAAGAAATGCTCGTTTAATGTTAATAACAATAAAGACAAAGGATTCTCTTAATTGTCGTCAAAAGAAATACTATTCGTGTCGATTTATTTTCTCCTGCTTGAATTGGTGTAAACATATTTTACACATGTTCTTGTAAACATATGTTATATCTAAAAACCCGCACCGTATTGTCTTCAATTATAAATGTATTGTGTTTAAATATAAATAAAAAGGAATACAATATATATATATATATATATATATATATATATATATGTATATATATATGATTTAAATAAAAGAATAAGTAATAAAAGAAATAAAATGATTTTGTTTCATATCTGTTAGCTGTGTTGATCTATCAGAGCGACCTCTCTCTCCTAATTCCAAACACTGGCTGAGTTTTCTTTCGTATGATCAAATCAGGTATAGGTTTGTTGTTTGAGAAAACTCTTTACAGTTTAACAAAAAAGAAGATGGTTTGGTGAAGTCACCGTAGGAAACTTGTGTGGTAGGAAGTCGTATGTCAGCATCCTGACTATCCCGGATAAATCCTTTTGAATTTAGATTAAAAATGTGAATAATAAACGAAACAAGAAAATGCTAGTTTGTCGTTCAATGTTAATAACAATAAAGACAAACTATTCTCTTAATTATCATCAAAAGAAATACTATTCCTGTCGATTTATTTTCTCCTGCTTAAATTCGTGTAAACATATTTTACACATGTTCTTGTGATCATATGTTATATCTAAAAACCCGCGAAGATATTTATTAATTTGAAAATTGTATGTTTCCAAAATGGCTTGGCCCATCTTCATTTGTCAGGAAGTAGTCACGATGATCTACTTTCTCCTTCGTAATTATATTCAGCGGATGCACTTATTGTTATCCTTCACATAAAACACGTACGTTAAAACGGAAATTATTGATATTCATTCATAGATCATGTTAACTTTTTCAGCTAGTTTACTTGTTTCAGTAAACATTATCGCATTTATTGAACAGATAGGAAAATACGTAAATTTTGGTAGACTTTTTTTCAGTAATTCGTAAATTCTTTGATTTATAAAAACTGAAACCATCAAAATTGGTTTTGAATGAATATTACAAAAATATAAGTTTTTCACAATTTATGTTCATCAAATAACATGTTGCATCTTAAATCAGATTTTCGAATGACAGTTTTTTATACTCGTTGTGAAAAAACATTTCTTCTTCAATAAAAAACTAAACACATCTTTAAAAACAAATACGTTAAAATAGAAATTACTGATATTCATTTATAGATCTTGTTAACTTTTCTGCAAGTTTACTTGTATCAGTAAACAATGTTCCATTTTCTTAACAGATAGGAAAATCCAAAAAATTTTGTAGACTTTTATTTTCAGTAATTCGTAAATTCTTAGATATATAAAAACTGAAACCATCAAAATTAGTTTCGAATAAATATTCCAAAATTACAATTTGTTGCCACTTTATATTTATTAAATAACCTGTAGCATCTTTTATCAGATTTTCGTATGATGGTGCGCAGTTTTTTATTCACTTTGTGAAAAGACATTTCTTCTTCAATAAAAAACTAAACACATGTTTAAAAACACATACATTAAAATGGAAATTATTGATATTCATTCATAGATCTTGTTAACTCTTTCTGCAAGTTTACTTGTTTCAGTAAACAATATCCCATTTTCTTAACAGATAGGCTAGCATGAAACTTTTCTTGGACATTTCTTTTTTTTTTTAGTTATTCGTAAATTCTTAGATTTCCAAAACTGAAACAATCAATATTGGTTTCTAATAAATTTTACTAAGATATCATTTTTCACTATTTATATTTATCAATTAACTTGTAGTATCTTCTATCAGATCCTCAAATCCCAGTTTTTTTACTTTCATTCAGAAGAGTCATCGACACTTTAATTAAAAAAGTTGTTGCTGATCGCCCATCCTTTCTTCTGCCATGTGTAGTCCTTGGTTTTATAATAATCTCCCAGAGATGGAGAAGATTGAGTTCATAACTTCTCACCTATCTCAAATGGTTCTTTCCCACCGTTCTAAAAACAGGATCTTTGTCAGTTCACCAGGACAGCCAGTCCAAAATCGTTCACCATTTTTCTTGTAATTATAGTTGTCATATGTTTCAAATTTTGGCGCTCTTGAATCATGTCTGAGAGCCACAAATACCTTAACCAATGTCGATTTTGCGTTTGCATCGTTTGATTGGCAATTAACAACATAACAAATCAGTAACAAAAGAAATAAAACCACTTGAATAAGAGGAACCACGACGACCCATCGTGATATATAAAAGTTAAACTAACAATATGAATGCCCTGTACTCACGGACGGCGTTCTCCGCTGTTCCCTTACAGATTCTAATCTTTATTTATCAGTTATTTGCCAATTTTTTTCATTCATAATATCTAACCATTTTTATATCACTTTTATGTGTGAAATGGTTAAAGTTTAATTTAAAAAAAAAACTAAAAAACTTTAGAGGAATAAATTTTGAAGATTAGGCATGTAATCCCTGTAATAGAACATAAATGGGGATAAGACCTACATTATTTTAAGAACAGCTTAATTTTACACTGATATAATAAATTTAATCAAAATCCTTCGAGCTACTGATGAGAAAGTGGTAAAACTGTTTAAAATCGACAATATAAAGTGGAACTTCCGGTTAACCGATTTTGATTAAAAAGTTGTAGTAGTATTCCAGGTATATACATATCTTAAATACCTAATTTCAGTTTCGTACAATTTTTCGTTTTTGAGCTAGACTGCTCACACACACACACACACACTTTTGCGGGACTTGGTTATTTGGACTCAACCTAAAAATAGAGTATATGGTCAGAGGTCCTTAAAACACACATTTTCTTTGAAAACTCAGACTCGGATATTTTCACGAACACATTATTTCCCGTATTATACAATACATGTAATATATATATATATATATATATATATGTAAGAGAAAGTAAAAATTAAAGAAAAATGATACCCTCAGTGATCAATAGTGGACGTGATTGTTGAGCGGGTGGTAAGAAATAGGTTTCCAAATGCAGGAACTTCCTAAACATCTGTGAGTTGTTTTCTTATCATTGGCGTACTTCATCATGTCTTTGAAAATATGGGTCCAATGTATGCGCAGAACGAAAAGTTTCGGAAGCACAAAAATCTTGGATGAAATGATGGATTTTTATTTGAGTAATAATTATACAATCTGCCACAAGGGATTTGGTTCAATGGATCAATTGTTACATTCATACTTTTTACAAATAAATTAAAATACAAGTTGAAAAAAAAATATGTATGTAAAAATATATACATTAAAAGAATAATATAATAGAAAAATGCCGTGAAGATACCAAAAGTTATGGATTTCGTAGCTGAAATGACGCCAAATTTCACGAAACGTAAAATATTTAATGAATCCTTGATTTAATCATGTTATATCTAATGGAGCATCTCAAAAAATTTGATTTAAAATAAAAAAAAAACACCTAACTGTTAGGCAACTTTTCAAATTTAATTAATGTAAAGGCAAATAATTCTAAAGAGTGCAACATTCGACGTATTTTGGCAGTGGATTGTATTTTTGTAGGTTATATGAATTGTGTAAAATAAACTCACCATTTCATGCTAGTATAGACATCTTACTTAACTGAGAGGGCCCTCCAGTCTGCTCTAGTTGATGCATCTGTGATTATCAGCTATGGTTTCGAATAAATATTACAAAAATACAATTTTTTACCATTTTACATTTACATTTAAGTATCATGTAGCATCATTTATCAGATTTTCGAATGATGATGTCCTGTTTTTTACCATCGTTGTGAAAAGACATTTCCTCTTTAATAAAAAACTAAACTCCCCTTTAAAAACACATACGTTCAAATGGAAATTATTGACATTCATTCATAGATCTTGTTAACTTTTACTTATTTTTGTTTCAGTAAATTTTCTTATCAGAGAGGCTAGTCCGAAACTTTTCTTGGACATTTTATTTGTTATCATTAAATTCTTCCAATTTCCAAAAACTGAAACAATAAATATTGGTTTCTAATAAATTTTACTAAGATATAATTTTTCACTATTTATATTTATCAATTAACATGTAGCATCTTCTATCAGATCCTCAAATCCCAGTTTTTTGCTTTCATTCAGAAGAGTCATCGACTCTTTAACTAAAGACTCTGTTGCGGATCGCGCATCCTTTCTTTTGCCATGTGTAGTCCTTGGTTTTATAAAAATCTTCCAGAGATGGAGAATATTGAGTTCATAACTTCTCACCTATCTCAAATGGTTCTTTCCTACCGTTCTAAAAACAGGATCTTTTTTAAGTTTAAAGAAGGAGAGCATGTGATTTAAAAAATAATCATTTATTATTAAATTCCTTATTATGAAAATCTTTAGAATATCATGGACAATGTATTGTCTATCGTGTCTCAAATCTAGGTCGAAGTATATAGCTAGGACTAGTTTCGGAACAGATTCGGAATAATGCAGATGGTTTATAGAAAGTCTATGTATTTTGCCAAAGTTTAGTAGTTAGTAGTTTTTGCTAAAGCCTAAAAGGAATTTTTTTTTTCTTAGGGTCGCCACTTTCATTTTATATTTGTTATCTGGAAAACATTGCCAATCTAATCACATACAGAGCATCACAACAAGTCAAACTAAACATCTATTCGCCTACTTTTCTTCTTATGTCTATTCAAGTCTTCCATATTAAACAGCTCCTATATCTTCGAAATTGTTCGATTTATCTTTAACTATTCTTTAATTGGTTACGTGATCTGTCTCGTACTGACAGTTTTAAATAATTGCAAAGTTTGTTCCTCTTCTACATATCCCTCTCTCCGTTAGTCAACGTACATATATAAC